CCTCTCTTCCTTTGTCGTGCTCATCGACACCCCTTGCTGCCCGCACCACATGCTGGAACCCTGCCGCCTTTCGCGCTTTAAATTCCCGCAGCCCCTTCTTCTCCTCCTCTTTGATCTCAGTTGCGATGATGCGCAAAGACGACGACGTGGAACAGGCTTGACGTGCCCAAGTGACGGGCGGAGTGACGACGCAAGGTGTGATTAGTGGTAGACTTGGGGGTACGTGTAGTCGAGGGACTGAGCGGTGGTGGAGATAGAACGTAGCCAGCGGCAGGGACTTGTGGCTATGGTTGGTTGACATCGGGTTGGTTGGGGGTCATGCCTGAGAGAGGCCAGCTTGTGGAATTTTGAATGGCGAGGGACTCACTCTTTTCTCCATCCATTGTTGCTTTGTCCAAGTGTTGTGTGTGCCATGGACTAAGTGTGGATACTCAGTCACATGCATGATGCTGGTTATGAGGGTGTATGGATGTTGAATGCTTCACTGTCCAAGATGTATGGATGTGGAATGAGGTTTGGGGTGTAAGGCGCGCAAAGGCGCGACCGTGGGGAGTGTTGGGTTATCAAATGTCAGCCTGTATGCATGAGTGTGTTGATTTCCCCTTGTTTTCCCCGATCCTTGTCAATTCCTTGCTCGACGTGTGGGTGTGGGGAATTGTCGCCGACTGTTCCCTCTCTACCCTCTCGCGCGCGAGTGCCACGTGTCTGTTGGTCCTGTGCCCCATCAGGCTGAGTGCCGGCAACCAGAGACAGCAGGCACATGCGTCTAAGTGCGTCGCCCTCTCTTTGCTACCCGGCCATAGCCGGTTTTTGCCCCAGTGACAATTCTAGGATCAACGACGTTGTGTCCCTGAGCTCACATTTTTGATTAAGTGGGAGGGAGTGGGGCGAGACTCATTGAGACTTGTATGGAGTCGAGATTTACTACGTTAAACGTGAGTGCAGGTAACTGGCCATGGTCAACCCTCTCGTCGATCCGCCATAACACCCTTCCGCCCTTCCCGATCATAGACAAAGATAACGTGTACTGTGATGCGGATGTGCCGAGCGCATTGCTGTGGACCAACTCGGTTCATTTATATAATCCGTCCAAAGCTTGCCAGGTACGGGGGAGTGGGTTTGTTCTGATTGATCGGTTTTCCTCCCCACCCTTGATCTTGCCTTACACTGATTTGACAATGCTGACTTGGTCGGCAGCCCATGCCACGTGGCGCCTGCAGTTTAAGTGTCGCTGGTGTCGGCGGGGAGACTCATGTTCCTGGCGACGGCTGGTGCTGGGGTACGAAGAACTCTCCCGCGGTGCGGGCGCCCTACCGGCGAGCTTCCGAACCTGGGTTCCCCCAGCCCCGCCCCAATCAGACGACAATGCTCCGAGCCGACCGCGCAGACTTGATGAATCCAACTCAAAAGCTTGAGTTCTCGAAATAGAGTTGGCGTGAAGTTCGCTGTGAACCTAGCGCGAGAGAAGCAGGAAATTCCACGCCTTTCCTTTTCCTTTCTTTTTCTGTTGGTCACGCATCGCTCCTTAACCTCGACGGACCCGAATTTTGTTCATACCCTGCACGTCGGGCCCGTTTACCCTTTGGATTCTTCTGAATTCCCCATCGGGCCCCTCTGTTGGCCTTAATTTTTGGGATAACCTTGGAATGAAGAGAGAATCCCCCGTTCCGTCCAGGTGATTCAAACCCTGCCTAAACTCCTCGGCCACGCCCCCAATTACTCTGATCGGGCGTCCCTCTGTACAAAACGCCGTGCGGGGTGTGAGGTTGTGCATCACATACGGCCTCATACATGCTTACATAGCCTCTGGACACACACATACACACAACTCTAATACAGGGCTGGGGGGGTCCATCAGGTACATGATGGGGCATGGCTTAGCTCTAGGGTAGAGTAGGGATATAAGTCGCTCCAGCTAGTCTGAGTTCCACCGTAGCCTTGGGTAAGTTAGGGGAAGGTCGGTGGGATGTGTCCATGGGCGCCGGCTTGCCTTGCTTAGGTATTCCTGCTGGGTAGACTCTCTGATATTGGGCCTGTAGAAGATTGCATGAGCCTGTAGTCCGAAGTTCCCGCATGGGGAGGTTTGTCTGGGGGGTTTACCCAGCCTTGGTGCTTGACGCTGCTGTCTGGTCGAAGTTGCCCACGATACTGGTAGGGTGATGGTCCAGTGCTGGCCACACTGAGGTAGGATATTAGCGACAGGGGTTGCGCTGGGAGTATTAATGTGGGGATGGGTAGGGTAGGTGGCCTATCCTGTCAGGACAATCATTGGCTGCCGCTGGTCCTTGGCCTCTACAACACCCTGGGCACTACCGTGTTCCCTCTACAAAACAAAAAACCAAAAACAGAAAAAAAAAGAAAAAAAACAAAAAAAAACTCGAAAAAACTGAACGTTATTTGATTGCACGCCAGTTGGCCCATGCTTCCTAACTGTTTTGGAAACAGATGTTTCAGCCTTGGGCACTACCGTGTTCCCCCGAACACAACGCACCCCGATAACGAATGTATACAATCTATGTTTCCGGTCCAGTGCAACCAAAATGACGGTGCGCTGTGTGCAGGGAAGACGGTAGGCCTGTGTATATCACAGAGACGATCATTTCCGTAAGAAAACGGAGGGATAGGGACAAAAAAGACCATATGCTATTGCTAACCTATTCCCAATCTATCGATTTCCATTTCCTATTTCCCTTGCTGCTGCTATTGTACAGCGGATATCAGCTCGCAATCATCCTGTACCCGCACGTGAGATAACCAGCAGTTGGCTAACCAGCACGTGGCTCGGCGAGAGGCTAGACAACCATAAACAAGCCTGCATGCACAAATCAGTGCGGGCATGCCCCATCGAGGAGCGCATCCTCCACTCCTCTTTGTTGGCTATGGTGCCCATGGCGAAACGTGCAAGGGCTGAGGAGAAGAACGCCCGGGCGGCCCAGGCCCGGCCCGAGGCAGGCGGCAAAGGTTCGGGGCCCGAGGTTCTTGCTAAACTGCGAGTGTAGGGACGATGACTGCACAGTATGCCCGCGATCACAACACACCCTCGTTGGGCTGGAAAGGCAGCTCGTAAACGTTCATGATGAGGATGCGTTGTATTCGGAGCAAAAATATATCTTTTGGCGTCCGCTTTATCCTGTGGAAGATTACGATTACCGCTCCGCACTTAAAGTCCTATTGTTCACAAAGAGATAATATTCTCGAAATCATCTAAATGACATCCCTACCCCCTTTACTACCCAGCTGTGATTCTTCACAACACGCAAACAATCGCCAAACATCCTCGAGAGAGAGAGAGAGCCCTTGCATTGGTAAATTAGAAGCGAGGATTATCATCTTTTCAGTTCTTTTTCGAATGCAATGTGGCTACAACAGAGAGAGAGAGAGAGAGAGAGAGAGAGAGAGAGAGAGAGAGAGAGAGAGAGAGAGAGAGAGAGAGAGAGAGAGAGCCCTTGCACCGGTGACGTCTGACATGAGAGAAATAGAGTAACAAAGAAGCCAGAGCAAGCTCACAATGGCACTTCCCTGGATGTGTCTTGCTGCAATTACGGCCCACCATGGGTGCATCTCACCGCAACTAGGGCAACAGCTGAGTCGACAAAGCCCCAATGTGTATATGCCCTGACTTGGCAAGATAACACAGAACGAAAGGACAGGCGAGAGAGAAGGAGAGAGGAGAGGCAGGTATGTACAAGGGCTGCCGTCTTCGCCCGATCACAACGCACCGTCATCATGACTGCATTTGGCCGGAAAGATAGCTTGTATACATTCCTGATAAGTGTGCGTGATGTCGGGGGGAAGGTGGTAGTGGCTGCAGGTAGAGACCGAAACAGCAGAGGATAGACAACCTCCAAGCTTGCTGATCTCAACGCATACTTAAACTGCGGCGTTCTGAATCTGGTCGTATATACAATCACATGCATGGCGACAAACCCTGGTGAGAGATTGCCGTCTGTATTATTCCATCCCTTTTTTTTTTTTTTAACGCCACACAAGAAATATGCATTTACAGTGAGACAAGCGGAAGAAACAGCAAAAAGCAGAAAGCAGAAAATGTGTCTGTTCAGCTCCCTTCCCGTTCCCATTCTCTCGATATGGGCGTCATCGCTACGGATATGCCCCTACCACCCGGACACCGTCTTGGGCTGGAGAGGGAGTTGAGCAGGAATGCGACACGCAAAAAGCCGAAGGGTTTGTCTTCTGGATGGTACACAGACGCCAAGAGCTCTCTCTCTCTCTCTCTCTCTCTCTCTCTCTCTCTCTCTCTCTCTCTCTCTCTCTCTCTCTCTCTCTCGCTCTCTCTCTCGCTCGCTCTCGCTCTCTATATATATAGTGCGTGTGCGGTGACGAGCAACAGTTAAAGT